TACGGAAAAAAAGAGCAAGGATATAGGCTCACTGTTCCTTCAGCAAATGTTCGTTGAATGTGAAACCTACCTACGCCTTTCCATAACTTCACAGGAAAAGGCAGAACTCTTTTCTTGTCCTCTTGAACAAATGTTTGTACTAAAAATGAACAATAAGCCACATTTTGCAATTAGCCACGTTTACCCTTTCTTTTTTTTCAAATACATCAGTTGAAGGTCTTAACTTTTCCCAAAAGGCTTCTTTTGTTTTTGTTACCTCGTACATTGTCTTTTGTTTCGCCACTTTTTCCTGAGGAGGCCATAAAAAGCAAGGACAGGACTTTTTTAATGTTCCGTAGAGAATTTTCGAATGTTTGGTATACTTTCGTATACAGTAAAATAATTTGCAAATCCTTTCGAATTTGTACGTAACATGAAGGCAGGATTACACGGAGTCCATAGATATGTCTTCAGTTATTACTCTTAAGACGGAGTCAGTTACTGACACCAAAATCCAAATTTAAGTCAAATCATGACTGACCCGTTATCGTCATAGAGTGAAGTGATTTGGTACAGTAAGATCGGTATATTAGTACCTACACAAAATATCTATGTACGACAAATAAACATACTATATTCAATTTAACTCGTGTATTGTTATGAATAAATAAATTTACAGACTAATTTACATAAACACACACAAATGTAATGATTTTTACATTTTTAGGATCATACCAATATTGGGTACCATTTATTTGATTTGGGTTTAGATCTGCTGAACTACTAAGCAACACAGTTTACAGCGTCGATATACCTAAAATCTCTAGGGTATCAACCGAGCTAGAGTGCTAATTAACTCAAACTCAAATCATTTATTGCGACCATAATGTGTACAGTGGGTGGTAGGTACTTATATAAATATGAGCATTGTGGGCCCCGTCGGGCACGCAATTGGTTATTAGAAGAGAGGATGCGCTTCCCAAATGAACAAAACTAACACTAAAATTATAATTGGATGATAGACATTGTTTCATATATTTATTTTTGATTGTGGTAATTGGTTTATTATTTAGATTATCACTGGTGTCTATTCTAGCAGGACTATCTAAACTTAAAACTAAATTTAACATTAGTCTTTGATTGTCATTCTGTATAGAGAATGACAAGGATACATTGCTGTCAAATTTAAGTTTAGGTTTAGATGATCATGTCAGAATCGACACCACTATCTGATTTGATTATAAAAAAAAGTAATAATAATATCACAAAAAAACATAAAATAAAAATTATCTATTATTTTTACATGTATATTAATAATAATTGATTTGTATAGCCATTATACAAAATCTAAAAATTCAAAAAACAACAGCAATGGAACCCCTTAATATGAAATATTATTCCACAATCCGTTAAAATAACTTACTACTCATCCCTTACCTACAGGTACCCGTAATGTTAAAAATAAGTGAAAAGAATATAACTTAATAGTTTAAAATCGGTAAGAAAATCGGGAGAAATTCCATGTTATCCTTGAAATCGTGGAAAAATCTTTGCTTTTCGGTAGGATAGAGCCCATATAGAAGCTAGAAATACCGAAAAATCGGTAGCTTCAAGACAACTGTTGCCAATATATAAATATAATGTAACTATGATTTTAAGTCATTTAATTTCATAGACCTAGTAAATTTCTGCTTAGTACCTCATGATTAGTGAGAGTGGAGCCAGATAGTTATAGTAGAGATATATTATGTGTTCTTTCAGCCACCTAGTCATTTATTATTATCTCTCATTTATTTTATTTTACACTTAGGTTTTTTATAAAATAGATATGAAAGTAAAATACAAAAACGTAAATACGAAAATATTATTATTAATATAATAATTATTATAATTTATTGCTTTCAAAATTAGTTGGTTCAGTTCCACTATTTATAAAAGCTGACATTAAGACGTGTTTGTGGTGTTTCACTGCTTACTTTGAGCTTTAGTCTAACTAAAGACTAAGGACACAATGAACATGTCTTATTGCCAAGCTTAAAGACAACAAGAAGGTGTCGACGTTTTTTTTCGCTAATATAATTCGGAAAAAAATACGTTAATTTGTCTGGCCCCTTTGTGCCGCAATTATAAGCGCTGCGTCTATTTTAGTTTCTCACGACTTTGCAAAGAAAATTTACAACGATGTATCCATGACAGCCATGCTCTTCGCCTTATGTTGCACTTCACTTTGTTATTCGTATGCTATTTGTAAATTAGACAGCAGTCTTCATTTCTTATAGCTAGTTTTAAAGTGCACGATTAGGATAAAATTGTGTCAAATTTACATATAGCAAATATATTACCAAATAAATGAAAAAAAAAATCAGAAGACGAGTGTATAAAGCTATACTATTTTTATTATACTACCTAGTCCAGCCATAAGTTCTGTTAATAATGAAAATTCGTTTTTTTTATATTATTAAAATTGATGCCTACAGATTTATTAAAGTCTCAGTAAAAAATAAAAAGATATTATATTCGAAATGGCCACCTTTGGCTTTTATACAGGCCTTTAATCTGTTTGACCACTAATCTATGGATTTACGCACTGTTTCCAAGGGAAAAAAGTGTATTGCTGAGAGGTTTCACAACATGATTTAAGACTGCATCTTGATACACTTCGACTGAAGTTTTCACTCCTTTTTTACAAAAATGTAGATTTGTTACTCCTTGATAAGACACGCCCCACCAAACTATCACTGGCGCAGGATGATGACCACGTTGTACCTTTCCGACCACTTGAGCAGCTTCTTTAGTACTTCTAATCATCATCATTAGTAATCATCTTCTTTAGTATGAGCGTACACTTTATCATTTTGCTTATTGTAGTGTTCTTTAATCGTGTTTTTTTTTCATCGGTAAAGAGGATATTTTTGTGCTTCTCACCTGCGTATCTCGACAGAAGGTGTTTTGATCGATTCACTCTCTTTAATTGTAATGATTGATTCAAGGCATTTCCTGTATATCGATGATAAGCACCGAGCTTCAAGTCTTGTTTTATCATACGCGACAGAGTCCTAACGGGAATCTTCATTTCTCGCGATAAGATAAGTTTAGGAAATGGGGTTTCGACGAATTCTGACTTTAACAGCATTAACAACCTTTGTAGTTTTAACAGCACGCGGCCGCGGCCGCCCCGATCTTTTCTGGTCTTCGACAGACGAAGTGTTGTAGTATCTGTTGATAGTACGATATACGAACACACGGCTGATATCAAGCTTTTGAAGTGTCTGGAATGTGACCGACGGCTCCATACCCACTTTGTGCAAGGCGATCATTGCAATACTATTTTCTTCAACACCCCATTCCATGTTGTAATATGATAATGAACACGAATTAAAATTGAGTTGTACGATTTGACCCGAACAAACATACATTGCAAGTTAAATAAAAACTTGTAAAAAAGGTGAAAAGGCGCAAAATCGAAAGAAGTATTTAAAATAATATACATGTTCCAAATTCAAAATAATTAAAAAGTAGAAAAAAAAGAAAAGATTTTATGTAACCGCATTTATGGCCAGACTAGATATATACAAAGTGTTTTGTTGAGATGGTGGATTTTGGAGTAATGATCCCGGGAATACGTAGGTGGACCGTGGGCGGTTAAGTCAATCTTTACCGAAATTCGACGAAGTTAACTCAAGGGATCAAGAGTACTTAATGTTTGGATTGTATTTTCAAATGGGAAATATTGAAATGATCCTCAAAATATTAATTAATGAAGACCTAAAAATACAACTGGTAACCTAAAGGTTAAGTTACCAATTGTATTTATTTGATGATCATTTAAATTCATGTGCCCTATGAAATTATGATTAATTTCCTTAGAGCATGCTCTAAGTAATTTTTGCGTTCATCACCTCGATTACGCCCACTGCTCGTTTACTTAATAAATAAAACACTTTTTTAAACGTGTTATAAAAGCGCTTGTTTTTTAATTTTATGTTTCGCAGGCATTCCAGGCTCGTTATATGTTTCATTACATGTTGATGTTTTGTGCGCGCGCTGATACCTTTATACCCAAGCAAGGCTCTCGTTTAGGTGTACACTTTACTTCAATAAATTAGTAATCTCGTATATCCCTTTCTCCATGAATGTAGTCTACTTTTGACCGTTGCCAAGTCTTCGGTTGGGTTGGGTCGCAATTCACAACATTCCATTAAATAGTACCTCTTTGACTTATTATATATATCTGTCTAAGGGCAAATAGCACTCGAGATTTTCATCTTTATTAGAGAATAGTTTGTGTCTCTCAAATTGTAAAAGCATCCTTGAACGACTCATTACACAAAATTTTTGCTAAAACCCCTTCAACTGGTGCTATTATTTTACAGGCCCTTATTGTTTAGACAATTTCAATAAGCAGTATAAAATATAAAAAGATATAATTAAAGAATAAGTAACATTTCATATATTCGCGCCATGATTAAAGCAATCTTACAACAATCATCACTTACTTTTCTTCTACACATTTCTCTGCGCCGTGAAATCTGTCCGCCCGAAATACTTTTTCTTACTTAAAGGCAATTCGGGCAATTACATCGAGCTTGTTACTGCCTTTAATAGGGTTTCACACAAAGTTTGAAATTAAAAAGTTTGGTGTTGGGCGGGAGAATGAATCTATTTAGCGGAGGCGTAAGTTCGTGATACGACGGAGTCAGTTGCCGGGTGTAAAATAAGCCCTCTGGCGTGTCACATCTTTTTATGGCCCGCCACCGAAACGGACCACTTAGCTTCACAAATATATCCACTTAACAATGTCCTAGATACTACTAGTGGAATTATATTATTTCTGAGGTATGTTCGAATGTAAATGAGTAAACTAAATCAACTTCATCGTTATCATCTTGTACCGATTCCGATATCTTATAAATTAATAAATTTATAGAATATGATATGGTTTAACAATGCGTTACTTCGTATACAACGACATTGTTCGTATATGAAATAAATGACCTGTAAAATCTAATATTTTTTTCTCAGGAACTTGGTAATTTTCATTCGTTCATTTTTAAAACGAAACCTCGCTACGTGGGATGTCGACTCCACTTCAAATTGGGATTACTTTAAAACGAGAATAACTAAAATATTATGAAAATCTCATGGAACAGTAGAATTGGTATTGGATTCATGTGTGGGGCGAGGCTGCGCGCGCAATCCTACGATACCGTAGCGCTACGAACGCCAGTCGTGTTCGAGCTACGAGATTTGTCGACGGCTACGTCTCGTAGCAAAACTCCAAGACCCCATTCTTTTTTGCCGACTGTGTTTGTGACAGTGATTTTGGAGTAAAGCAAGAAAACCTGAAATATTACAGATTAGGTAAATATTAATTTAGTTAACCATTCAATAACATATTCGATAACACATAAATTAAGTCTGTACTTCGTTTTTTGCTGATTCAGCGCCTGGTGTCGTAATGAATCGCATCGTTCCACATAGGCTATATTAAATGGGATCGACTTAAAATAAGAAAACCGAAATAGGTTAAGTTTCGATTACATAGGTACATACATGTATCTTTTTTAAGGCAGTTTTAAACTCTAGCTTCTAATTAAATTACTTTAGTCTTTTGTTATTTCTGTATTCGAAATTGAATTTCAGAGTATTGGGGTTTTAAATTCAGTATATATTTTTTTTAAATATCCATCGATTAGTATATTTAAATTTTTCGAGGACATTTTCGAGTAGATAATATCCGACCCAACAATTTATGTGATTTAAAATTTAGCTGACTCATATCATTTAAGTTGATTTGATGATTTATTTCTCGTTCACTTTAGGTTATGTAGTTCTCTTTATCATATCAGAGACACTGCGATTTATTCTTATCTTATCTGTGATTACTCAGAATCATCTCATCACGTCATCAACAGTCGCCCATTCGTCTAACTTTAATTACATCTTTAAATTTGTCATCTGAAAGAAATAGACAAAAAAATATTGTGATTAAAATCTATCGTTATAAGAGTTCGAGTATAGAAAAAAACCGGACAATTGCGAGTCGAGCTCGACAACCGAGTGATCCGTACAAATTTGTTGGTACGGAACACAAACGGCCGTATCTTTTTTTATATTACTTTAGATGTCTGGGTTTTTGACACTTAAGGACTGAAGACCTCAGTATATGGTTTAAATTTCAACTTGATACATCTACGCGTTCCCGAGATAAGGGGTCTGCACAAACAGTCAGATAAACGGCCGTATATTTTGTTAATAAATTAACATTTACATGTTTGGTTTTTTCTCAGCTTCAAGGAACTACAGACTTGAGTATATGGTTTACAACTCGATATCTTCACACGTTCCCGAGATGAAGGTTCTTTACAGACAGACAGATAAACGGCCTTATTTTTTTTATTTAACTTTTTTGAGTTAACTACTCAGAAGTTTAATTTCTACACAGCTTTAAGAGACCATAAACCCGAGTATATAGCAAATTTTTTGAAGCTTTAAATTTGTAAAAGTGATATTAAAACATAAAGTACGTACTTTTATGTTTTTTTGTAGGCGACAGACTTGCAATCTGCCACAAATTGAAACATGGGTTGACACGAAGATCGATTTCCATGCTGATGTACAGAAGTGCCACTTACACTTCAATTACCTATCGTTGTTATTGCTGTGTAATGAAAGCGCTATTTATATCAAAGAAATTATATGTATTGCTGAGTCCACGACAATATCAAATATTAAACTTCCCGAAGTGATATGTAATCTAATATTTCCTAAAATCTTACGGAAATCCCATACGAGAAGTGGTTGGCATGACGTGGCACTTTTATCTACCGCACCAACTATTTTTGCATCGAGACTACTATTTATTGACTGTATATTTTTGTTCATTTTGATATTTGAAAACCCTTATTTTCGACAAACTTAGTATTTAAAATTTAAGTAGTTTCCCGAAACGACAAATAAAATGGGTTTCAAATGTCAAACAAGATTAGATGGGGCCCTCTCCCATCATCATTATATTAGGTAGAGTGTTTATAGTACTGTTCAATGAGATAATATCTTAGCTTGCAGCTTAATGAAACGACTATATAAGACCATATAACTTACTTTCTTTTAACGGATTTATTCTGTAGCTGCTGAAACGTTTTATGCAACTCTTATTTTGAACGAATATATTTGAAATTACTAGTAAACCTTAGACAATGCTGATAATACAATCTGTACCTATTGCATCAACATTTATTGTTACTTTGCTAGCTCTTTAATTTGTTTGATCTTTAGTTATTTAAGACATAATTTTCATGGAAATTATATAAAACCACTTTTTACTTTCATGGATATTGTGAAGGAAATTTCGATATCTTAAAAGGAGAGAAAAAATAAGTAGTGCTCAATCCAGTGCGGACATATATAATGTGCAAAAAAAGAAGAGACAATATTTCTAGAGATTAACAAAAAAGATTACTTCTTACATTTAAACCAAAAAGATTATAAAACAATAAATATGTACAAAAGAGAATATTAACAATAGGCTATTTACACAAGAATTCGTAACAGATATAATAATAATTTGTCATGTAATAACGCTTCAGCTACACAGACCTAATCCGTTATATCGGCCAAACACGGCCAATCAAATGGAACATGTGTAAAAGAAAGAGAGTGTGCAAAATTACTACAACCGTAATCGTCCAATGTCGCCCGCCCTAATTCATAAATGTAATGTAAGTACATTCGTTTGTTTTAATCGGCCGATGACGGCCGAGCATAGTTTGTCCGATAACTGATTAAGGTTTTAGTAGATATATCAACTCGGATAGGGATTGTCACCGTATCAAATCGAGCCGTTCAGTATTATTTATATGAAACTCCCTACTGCAACGGAATAGTAACGTAATCGCCTCACCTTGGGATATAAGCTTATCCGAGGCGATGCGATTACGTTACTATTCTGACTAGTGTGCGTTGCAGTAGGGAGTTTTATATAAAGAATAATGAACGGTTCGATTTGATACGGTGACGATCCCTTTCCGAGTAAATATGTCTCCTGCGGCCATTAAGTGTATCCAAGGCCTATGGTATACATAGTTGACATATTTCTTATATGATAGGTACACTCTTTCGCTCCTAACCTTAGCTAAAGAAAAAATCTAAATCCAGAATTAACATTATGTGCTAGTTTAATTTTATCCATTATTCATTTTCATAAAACTTTTCGAAAATTTAACGATTTATCGCAAAGTAAACAAAGTCGCTGCCACCAGCTAGTATCAAATAATCCCTTGCCCAATAGTTTAAATTTAGAAATTTGATCAATACTCAATTACTGTATAAACCGATTTACTGATCGTCAGGATCAGAGACAGAGCCCGTACTGCTGGAGGCTGTTAGCGAGACTTGGAAATAGTATCTGCCACAACTAACCCTTGGCCCAATTAAATGTAAGCACTTTAACGAAGGGATCTTTTATAGTTTCGACTAAGATTGCTCTATACAGGTTAGGTAAAGGGTTTACTCGGGATTACTTGTCCAGTGTACCTACTAAATAACACAAATTATTATATGAATTAATACTACTTGTCTACTACTAAGGCCGCGTTGTTACTTCGATAGTAAAATTTTACCATTAAATATTAGAGAAAAATAACCATTTGTCAAAATTTGAGACATTTACTATGTATTTAACGTGTTATTAAAGCTATTGTCAAAATTAAATACATTATTAATTAGTTTGGTAATTTGGAAAAATAAATAATTGAGCTCGATGGCGCAAGTGGTTAGCGCGTTCGGCTGCGATCGTTGAAGTTAAGCAACTTTCGCAGTGGTCGGTCATTGGATGGGTGACCAAAAATTTACTATCTCGAGCTCCTCCGTGCTTCGGAAGGCACGTGAAGCCGTTGGTCCCGGCTGCATCTGCAGTTGTTAGCACCCATCAATCCGCACTGGGCTCGCGTGGTGGGTCATGGCCCAATCTCTCTATTCCATCCATAGGGAAGGCCTGTGCCCCAGCAGTGGGGATATTAATAGGCTGATGATGATGATGAAATCATTTGGTCACAATATTTTGTCCTACCTATTAACACATTTCTTACGATGAAAACGTGCCTATACTAAAATAAATAAATTTGCTTGTTTTGGATGCTCATAAAATCTATCTTAATTTTTAACACATTCCTTTGAACTATCTGAAATTGTCTTTAGTATACTGCGCTACTGCATTTTGTATGATCTAATATTGTCATATAATAACATTAAATTATTTTTTTGTAAATTCTTTCCATTTGTCTGTATTGACTTGCCGGGAATCGCGGACGTCGGAATTTGTTTGCTTGTTATTAGACGTGTGGATATCACTAGAATGTATGGAGAAGGGGAAAAAGAAACTAATGCTTATAAAAATGACAATTAATAAATTGACATCGTTTGTGCAAAAGAATTGTGATAAAATTTTGTCAAATATTTTTATCTATTAATACCTACATTGTAAAAGTAGGTACTTAATTAATTATATTTACCACTCTTGTTGACTTGAATACAAGCTAACAGTAGCTTATCTTTATTTATATGTAGTCAGATGATTGCTTAAAAAATAGACATAAGTAGCACTTAGTAGCAAATCTGAAAGAGGAGAATGATTGTAAATTATCTGGATGGACGGAACGGAGAAATATAGTAAAAGTTCATTTTAGCATACTTTGTAGGTAGAAGAAGACTTAACAAAAGTATCCTAAGTTCATTCTTTTTCCGTAGTAGTGTATTAATTATTCCGTTGTAATTATAAGGTTCCCAATTTGTGCTTGAATGATGAAGTGAATTGGTCTGCAAACAGTCATTTATACACACCAGTATACCTATGCCATGATGAGGGGATGAGCTCGATGGCGCATCTAGTTAGCGCATTCGGCCTGCGATCCTAATAGTTAAGCAACTTTCGCAAAGGTTGGTCATTGGATGAGTAACCAAAAATTTATTATCTCGAGTTTTTTGTTAAGTCTTTGGTCCCGGCTGTATCAGCACTCGTTAGTACCTACCAATTCGCACTGGATCCGCGTGGTGGGTGACGACGACCAATTTCCCTAATTCATCCATAGGGAAGGCCTGTGCCCCAGCAGTGGCCAAATTATGGTATATCATTTGAATTTGTAGTGCCGAGTATTTTATTTTTGTTATATTTATTTTATTTTCTATTGTTTCCGTTCTCAGTGGGAATTCAGCTAATAAAGTGACAGTAATAAGCTGAATTCAGTCAGCATTCAAATTAATACTTTCGGTATTCAAATGATAGCGCGACTCCAATAAAACAAATTAATGACAACGCCCACTCTTTGCATAAGTTTTATATTTTTCTACACAATTATAAGAAA